GGGAGCGTCGTCCGCCAGGTAGATGCGTGTTGTGCGATTGACGACACGGGAACCTCGGCGCGACCAAGAAATTCTTCAAAATAAACAAGAAATTACCCCGGTTTAATCACATCAAACGTATTACAAGTTATGCACACACTGTGCGGTCATAAAGCATCCAAGATGCAGGCTTGTGCACAGAATAGGCTGACATAACAGGTCAATGACAGAAGAGTAGACAACGAACTAGCCCCCTCCCTGAGGAGGCCGTTGCTTTAAACAAAGGAGTGCTATGCAAACTCAACTGCGTACGCTATTTCCGTTGGTCACCCCACGAATCACACTGATCTTCATAAGAAAGCACATTTGTAAATTCGACCGTCGATTTCAGCTATTTCTACCGTGTGCTAGCTCCACAGCGTGGTGATGCAGGGACGGTGACCTATGCTTTGATTAGTTTCAAGCAATGGTAGACTTTTGCTGCATCTACCACACTCTGTCCTAACGCGCCTGTGCCGGGTGTCACTACAGTGTTAGGCAAACTACGAATCTCCATAACAGGGCACACTTCCTAATGCTAGACAGACCCCATGACAAACGCAAACGAATTTGCGACACAATTATTACGTAGCTTGTTACATGCTACGAGAGACAGACACTGGCATTCAGACTGTAGCGACTGCTTAGCACAAAAGAGGAATTGTTGCAGAGGAATAATTTACTCCCATACAAACTATACTGGAGCGTTTGGAGGTGACACAAGAACCTTCTCGAGAAACCAGCGAACAATAGCTTCCAAGCAAAACCCTTAAGATACGCTGGCTGGCTGGTCACTATGTATTTGGTCATTCTGACAGTAGCTCGCCCTATTTTGACTTCCTACGTCAAACAATTCCGGTAACTGCCATATGTTTCTTTCTAATAGTAACAACTGAAGAAGTGCAAAACAAGACAGGTTTCATCCAGCGGCTTGAAATTGTTCACGCTGCACAGTAACTGAAGCGTGACTCACGTGAACATTCCACTTTTAAAAGGGCCCATTTTGAACAAACACTTTCCTTTTCTTAGTCTTAACTACGAAAATGTCAGACCAACATATTCGAAATGGTGTGGCATGAAATAAATACCAGTAAGAACCTGTTAATTAATCGATTACAAATGCTACAGCTTTGCCAATCAACAAAAGTAAAAGAGCGCGGTCGTACAATGCCTTTTAAATTCTTAAAACGACTAGAAATACAGTCTGAGCCTGTGCCACCGAACTTTCAAGAAAATCAGGCTACGGAAGAGAGAGAGAGAGAGTAAGAATATAAGCAAATAGGGGGACCGCAACTTGCCATCTGCTTGGTGGTCTCTGCGAGCGTAGACGGTTAAAGTGACCACGTCGCGATTAACGTCCCCAATGGGAAACTTCCAGCCGATATTCCAGGTCGGAGAACGTCGAAAGAGGACCACATTAGTCTTTCGCGACCTCAAGCAGACGCTCACGTTGCAGAAGGGTGAAGGAGTCTCTGAAGAATGAGAAAACCATTATGCAGGCAATGTAGGAAAAATAACCACAATTGAGGAATACATAGTTAGAAAAAAGAAACATCCTTCAGAAGAAATTGACAAGTAAGCCTACGAAGGAGTGGATGCAATAATCAGGCGACTCAAATCCAGCAAGAGCTGCTAGCCAACCCTATCCTACAAAGCCACAGCACAATCGTAGCAGCGGCTGATCTGAAAAAAAGTCAACCAAAATTCAAAATAATAAGCATAAACCGAATTAAAAACACGGCTCTGGTACAAGCTCTGCACATAACTTTCACCTACTCCCGGAGTAGCAACCTCGTGCTGCAAAGGACAGTGTATGCTCTTTATGATCCTGAAACCTGCCCCTTACCATGGGAAGAACCATAACCGCAATCGCCATGGCAGTCAACTCAAAGTATTTCGTGTAGGTGGGGTATCCACTAACTTCTACAACTTTTTAAAATTCCATTAAAACTTGTGGATCAAAATTAAGTCACAGTTAATCAGACTCGCTTGGACGCTCGAATACGGGAATATCCATATGATGAGAACCTTCCGCCTAACATGGCGCCTTCAGTACAGTAGGAGTCTCAACAGTCACGTTTACCATTGTGAAAATGTGCAACTGCAAAGGTCGGGCCAAGCTCACTCACTACTCTGCGGGCAGGCGACGTAACGAACCAACTAGTTGGTGGGTGATTGGGAGAAAAAAGTCAAATGTGTCCAGATCTGAATGCAAAGGATGCCTCGTGAAACTAAAATCGGGAATAGTCTACAAGTTGGAAGAAACTTTTAATGCACCCAAAAGACCCCATCTTAACGGGAGGGGGGATGAAAATCAATGAACACACACACCGATTGATACCGATGTGGAGGGTGAAAATATATGCAATCGATCAAGACAGACTAAGACGTAAGGACATAAACTGATTAAAATCACAGTTGACAATC